CAGACACATGCGGCCAGCGGCCCTGCGCCAGCTCTCGAAACGAACCTACTCGTCCTCCGCCTACGCCCAGACCATCGAAAACTTGCGCATCAACGGCGACACCAAGGTCATCTTCCAGGGTTTCACCGGAAAGCAGGGAACGTGAGTTATGCCCTCGTCTCCATTGCTGCTATCCGCGACCAGCGACCCAGCTCTTCAAGAAACATGAAATAACTACTGTGCTGGATATTCAGTGTTCTGCGATATGGATCATGAGATTCTAACATATCACTCTTCACAGTTTTCACGCCGAGCAGGCCATCGCCTACGGTAAATACCATCCCTTCGATATAATCCCAACCACCAGTGGATGGCAAACCTCAGCTCGAACCCCATCTAACAAACATTCCCATAGGCACCAAGGTTGTTGGAGGCACAAACCCCAAGAAGGCTGGTCAGACGCATCTCGATCTCCCTGTGTTCGCAAAGGTTGAGGATGCCGTCAAGGAGACTGGTGCAAATGCCACCGCCATCTTTGTCCCGTGAGTCTTGCGACCAAAGTACGAAAAAGATGAACCTCCACTAAACATGCTTAAACCAGCCCGCCGCTGGCTGCTGCTGGTATCGAGGAGGCCATTGCTGCCGAGATCCCCCTTGTAGTATGCATTACTGAGGGTATCCCCCAGCACGGTAAGCCTTGTCCCACATCTCGCGAAAATATGCGGGAAACCTGACGTATCGTTAGACATGGTCCGCATCACCGATATCCTCAAGACACAGTCCAAGACCCGCCTCGTTGGTCCCAACTGCCCTGGTATCATTGCTCCCGGCCAATGCAAGATCGGTATCATGCCTGGTTTCATCCACAAGCGCGGTCGCATCGGAATCGTCTCTCGATCCGGTACTCTCACCTACGAAGCTGTCAACCAGACCACGCAAGCCGGCCTGGGCCAGTCTCTCGTCGTCGGTATCGGTGGTGACCCATTCAGCGGCACCAACTTCATCGACTGCCTCAACGTCTTCCTCAAGGACGAGGAGACGGACGGAATCATCATGATCGGTGAAATCGGTGGAGCTGCCGAGGAGGACGCTGCCGATTTCCTCAAGGCCAATAACACCGTCAATGGCGGCAAGCCCGTCGTCAGCTTCATCGCCGGCATCAGCGCTCCTCCAGGACGTCGCATGGGTCACGCCGGTGCCATCGTTGCCGGTGGCAAGGGTGGTGCCGACTCCAAGATCAAGGCCCTGGAGGCTGCCGGTGTCGTTGTTGAGCGCTCTCCCGCTGGCTTGGGACGTGCTATGCGTGAGGCTTTCGTCAAGCGGGATCTTTTGTAGATGGGTTTGAAGCCGGACATTATCCGTGCTCTGATCTGGTGTAATGGTCGGTGGTTGGTGTATAAATAACTTTAAGATAGAGGTTTCCATGGCATCTGGCGGTCTTTCATAACTTATCTGTCAAATACAGCAAAGCATGATCAATTACGTCTTTTTCATATACTTTTACATATGCAATGTAAAGAAAGATATGAATTATGATTACATATATACTGTACTTAGAGCTCTATTGAAGTCAACAGTGCAGGGATCGTCATGAGGACATGATCTGCTATGGTTGCATACCTGTCTACCTACACTGCCTTTGGTGACTAATACTCATAAGATGCTTTGTCCTATGCTCATTCACTCGCCTCCGCATATGCCCTTGTCTGGTTGTCTGTCTCGATGCAACCCCTTCATAGCGCTCTTGTAGATGTTTCTCCAATCCAACTGCCGTGGCTGCATCCCCGCACAGCATCATGGGGTAAAGCACTATTGCTTTGGGATTATTCCGGGAGCATATGCTGTAAAGATGGGAATAGTCGTTGAGACATGGCTTATAGAGATCTACAAATTTAAGGTATTGGGAAGAGATTACACGCCCATTTCACCCTGATGTTCGAGTTCTTTCACATCTTAATACCTATTGTATGTATGTGCACCAAATTCCGATTCTCAGTACGGCGGAGTTTAATAAGACTCGTCGAAGTATACTCTATAAGCAGACATGGCCGAATCCACACGAGGACGAGACTCGGTGCATTCTAATCCCATTTCAAAGCAAAACATAGATGAAATTGAGCAACAACACAGTAACCCAGAGACAGAGAACCAACAATACAGAGACTCGGAAATCGTGCCGCTTGAACAAGAAGCAGTCGAGAACGCATATCATGTTAACTTGAGCTGGAGATCTTGGGTAAGCAAGCCAAATTAACATTTTCTTGCTCTTTCACCTTTGGCATTGACGCTGGAGTTTCGATTCCCATGACTTGATAGACCCTACATACTCTGTGCTCAAAAAAGTCTTCGGATAAGATTTCACTGAAGTGGCTAACAGGCTACAGCTCGTTGTCTTCATAACATGTTTCGCGTGAGTCTTACGAAGTCAGGTTGTGTCTCCTGAATGAACCATGGCTCTGACCTCGAGGTGGATTTCTGCAGCGTCCTGACACAAGTTTTCGTCGTCGTGGCTGCCGGGTCTGTGATAGCATTTATCATCCGAGATTTAGGCGATGCCTCGCTCGCAGGATGGATTATCCAGGTACTTTGCCTTTGCTCTCCTTCTGTTCCATGTCTCTTTTCTCCATGCCTCCCATCTTACTAACTGGCAAAACTGACTAAACACAGGGTCCCCTCCTCCTCCAATCCGTGCTCTCACCCATTATAGGACGGCTATCCGACGTCCTGGACCGTAAATATCTCGCCGCAATCCCACCTCTGATAGCATTCATCGGGGCGGTTGTCTCCGCCACGGCGAAATCGATGTCTGTCCTTATAGGAGGTGGGGTCTTGATAGGGACTACGCTGGCGACTATCAGCATTGTCCAGGCTATCCCGTCTGAGATTTTGCCGTTGAAGTTGAGGGCGCTGGCAAATGGGTTTGCTGGTGTTGGTGGCTCGCTGGGTGGTCTGTAAGTCGCTCAACCTCCCGTATCCCATCCACTCTCAGTTACAGGTGTTGGAACCGGAACTTATGCAAGAGAGTTAGTAATGATACCTGCGATCCAGGAGCGGTGCCTTAATAGCAGGGGCAGTGACAAACATCAATGCCCATGGCTGGCGAAACATATTCTGGATCCAGGCCGCATTGCACGGGACCACATCTCTCGGGCTCCTCCTATTTTACTGGCCTCCGAAACAAACCCGTCCAAACCTGAGTTGGACAGAAATTATTTGGGCTTGCGACCCCATCGGTAGTGCCTTATTTGTGAGCAGCGCTACGCTCACGCTCCTCGCTCTTGACTGGGCAGGAGGCGCCTATGCCTGGTCGGATCCGCATGTTGCTGTGCCCTTGAGTTTGGGACTGACGTTGCTTCTGGGGTTTGCTGGATATGGTATGTTCTATCCTCTTAACCGCTCTGCCCTCCGTTTTTACAGGCTCTGTGGAAACGCGTATATGTAAATAACACGACCACAGAGTACAGAGGCCGCAAAGACGGCCTAGTAGCGCACATATTCTTCCGACAAAATGCAAACTTCGTCTACGCAGTATTCGCATTCGCAGTCGAAGGCTGGATATTCTACAGCGCCGTCAACTCCGTCGTACCACAAATCATCCTAAACCTCGGGTTCGAAACGAATGCATGGCAGATCTCGATTAGACAGCTCAGCTACCAACTCCCTGTTCTTTTCGCTCCGCTTCCCATTGCGTGGTATGCTACACGGTATAAGGACTTAAAAACGCCGATTCTGATCACTTTTACGATTTTCCTCGTAGTGTATGTGTTCTCTGCAACTAACCTCCTGTTCTCCAGAAAGCTGACCTGCCCATCATCAGAACGATAGCATACGCGACAATAAAACCCACCTGGAACCATGCACAGATCGGCATCGCAGTCCTAACAGGAATCGGACAAGCCGGTCCTCTGACCCTCCTCATAGCATGTGTTCAATTCACCGCTCCCCACGCCTACCTCTCTACCGCCACGGGCCTTGCGTTTTCCGCACGGGCAATCGGCGGAGCCTTTGGTTCTGCCGTTCTAGATGCGATTATCAACGGCTACCTATCCGGACACTACACACCAGCTATTTCAGAAGCTGCGATTAATGCAGGATTACCCGAGTCTAGCGTCCCTGAACTGTTGGAAGCTTTGTCTGCAGGTGAGATCGGCTCCGATAGTGTCGAGGGAGCGAATGAGACAATCTGGGGAGAGGTGTTGCGTGCTAGTCATTGGCAATATGCTTATGCGTATCGATTGGCGTATTCGAGTATCATACCCTTTGTCGTACTAGCTATTGTTGCCGTCATGTTGTTGAAGGGGGTGAAGGAGCTCATGACTGAGAAGGTTGAGGCCACTGTCGAAGCTATTGGCGAGAAGGAGGGCCGATCTGCATAAGTTTGTCGTTACAGTTCTTTTCCCTTGTAGTGAAATCATGATGGAACTCTACACCTTTATTGACATGACAAGTCGACAATGGACTTTGCGGGGTGATAGGTGTTTGTGAACACCTACCGCGGTGTTGCGTCATTCAAAAGTAATTCGTCGTGAATATAACCGTTGGTCCACAATCTTACCGTGAGAAGTCTTACCAGGCTTGCATACCAGGCCTCAAAATATCTTATCACATCTATTCAAAACAAGTATTTTCTTCTTTAAATACTCATGCCATATTCAGGGCGTGAGCGTTGAACAATGGTGAGTTCACCGCGGCCATGCATAATGAGGCTTCACTTATAGGGTAGCGCAATTGCCCTTTCGCATTATCAACACATGAATCCTCGCGTCAAAGACCCTGTACTCGAGCCTTCCACCAAACAGCCTAATAGATAGAGGCCATTGAATCCTACACAATGCATGTCGCATCGCTATACATAATCATTCAACACGCTCCTTTAGGCACAGTCGTAGCGCAGTTAATAGTCTGCCAAAGCTGGGCGCCCACGGCCTATTCTCGGCTAAAATTGGCCTGTCACGTCCTATATGATCTCAGATAGCGGCAAACTGATTCAACCACCAATCAAAGCATTGTATAAAGTGACAGGGTTCGTGGCGCAGCGGTAGCGCGTGTGATTCCAGCTGGCTGCGTTTCCAACGCCCTATATGCTGTATCCACAAGGTCATCAGTTCAAATCTGGTCGAGCTCAATTTTTTCAATTTTATCTTTTGCGGTTTCTCAGCAGCCATTCTCGCTCTCTCTTGGTTCTCTGCTAATTTCTTGCCCTGATAAGACTGGTTGTTACGTTGTATGTATCTTTATTGTCCTGGTGAGTATCTTCAGTGCTTGATACCACAATGATGCAGTTGCGGTACATTTCCAAGGCTTCGGCTGTTCACGTAAGCTATAAATCGACAGCAGTGTTCTACACAAGTCTGCAAAGAGCGTGGGACTTGGCCCTCCGCACTGGAGAAAGGCATTGCGCTGCCATCTCACCGGTTATTGAATGCAGAGGGTATCCCGATTGTCCCCAGCCGAAACAAGCCTTTAACATGAATGACGAATAATCCATCTGTAGGATCATTACATGATGACGACCTACATCGTGATTTCAAGTATTTACATTCATTAGCTTCGTCAAATACTGTTATATACGTTTTGCGTGCCAGAAACCCTATATACAATATGATGCAACTTTGTAGGTTGCTGGGCATTCCGTATGGCTATCCACGTATTACTCTCAATTCGGAGGTACTTTATTCAGCCCGTAGGTTGCGGTCGTCCATCTATCCATTTACTCATATACGGCCCATCAAGCCAATATCCAAGCTTTCGGTAATAACTCCTGACACCCACGCCGCTAATGACACTGATTTTGTCGCTTCCGTGCTCGTCGCGGGCGATGCGCTCAGCTTCCTCCATCATCAGAGTACCGAAGCCCTGATGCTGGAACTTCTTCGGATCTCTGGCATGTACAGGTACAGCTGTACCATAGACATGCAGCTCTCTAACCAGACTAGTTTGTTGTCCGGTGAGCTCTTCGCGGTATGTATATTTCTCTGTGCATTTCCTTAGTCGGAGAAGGCCGACCAGAATGTCTTGTTTTGGATCCTCGTATGCTAAGAATGTCTCCCAGCCACCGTTGGCAGTATAATCACGACGCACCAATTCGATCTGATTTGGCCGTATCTTGTGTTTCACCTCGTTGATACCAACTTCTCGTGTTCTGACGTCGCGGCAAGTCGTTCCGAAATCTTTCATCCGAGCCAAAGCCAATTCTCTCAGGTTTCCATTTTCCACACCCGATGTGACCAGAGGCATGGGAATATCTCTCTGAACACGGTATATACGCGTCCATGGCGGAACAAGTGCCAATATCCGAGCCACAATATCTATGAGGGCATTTGGTGTGTAGTTCTGGTATCTGCCTGTCCGCCAAAGCTCGTAGAGACCTGTGCCGCGAATGACGAGTGTGGGGTAGATTTTAAGTCCGTCTGTGCGGAAAGCCGGATTCTCGAAGTATTCCCTGAATTGATCCAGATCGCGCTCCATTCCCACGTTTGGTAGATCGGGCATCATATGTGATACAACCTTGAACCCCGCGTCCTTTGCGAGACAGAAAGTTTCCGCAACAGCCGCAACGGTGTGACCACGATTCGTGTCGCGCGCAACATCTTCGTATAGAGACTGTACTCCAACCTCGAGTCTGGTGCAACCATATCGGAGCATATCCGTCAAATGTGGCTGGAGGCAGTAGTCTGGCCTCGTCTCGATAGTGATACCCACACACTTAGCATTGCTCATCTCGCCGGCTTCTACTGCCTCGTCCACATTTGCTGTTTGATAGCCACTGAGGGCATTGTGGAGTTGAGAGATGAACTCTTCTCGGTAGGGAATGGGCAGGGACATGAAGGTGCCTCCCATGATGATGTATTCGACCTTGTCAACAGAGTGGCCGAGGGACTTGAGCTGTTCGACACGTCCTCGGGCCTGTTCAAAGGGGTCGTAACGGGCACGGATGGCGCGCATGGAGGTGGGCTCGTATCCGGTGTAGGACTGAGTGCTGTACTCGAAGTCGGAGTCAGGTCCGCCGGGACAGTAGACGCAGATGTTGCCGGTGTAGGCAATATGAGGACATCGATGGGGTTTACACATGACGGCGACCACGGCAATGCCCGACGAGGATCTGATTGGCTTTGCGATCAGCTTGGGCATGATGTACTTCTTGTAATGCTCGGGAACAGCAGCGATGATGGCGGTTAAAGGCGGTATGTTGGCCAGCTTATGCTTCCTCGACAGCTTAGTGCGCAGGCTGTTTAAATTGATGTCCTTCTGGGGATTCTTAGGATTCTTGGAGGACTCGTGATCTTCAATCAGTGTGTTGGCAATCTCGGCGCAGCATCGTAGGAAGCGTTCGCTCTCGGGTGGGAGGTTCGCGTCTTTCTTGCGGCCACCGACGGTCGTGGTGGCCGTCATCGTTGTTGTAGCCATGAGGGCAGATGTCGCATCAACTACTCGATGCTATATCCGATGTGTGCTTGCTGTTCATATGATATGGTTCTGACAATCTGGAGATTGCTGTCTTTGAAGAAGGGTGGGAGTAGGTATTGATCTGCGGTTTGCTCATTGGATGAAGGGGGAAATATGATTTGATGGCGGGGTGTGACTCTTGACTCTTGACTCTTGAGATCAGGAGCTGTGACGCTTCCCGATGAGAGATAGCGTGTCTGTGAAGTTCTATCGATAGGGCTTAGCCTGCTTGCTCTGTCTCCCTTTAAGCTCAGATTTCTACTGCAATAAGCCTAGTGTGCTTCTGGCTTTAGTCATTAACCGAAGCCCTTCTGCCAGGCCATGGAGAGTTACAGGACCCCCCCTGGTAGAAATGTTCCATGTCTAGTTTCTTAGCAGTACCACCCCTCCCCTGCACCGTCAGCTTCCCTATTTAATTAGTACCTAGTAATTGCTTACTTAGGCCTTATTATACACTAAAAGTCATATTATAAAAAGCAGGTTATATGTATTTAGTAAATTTAGTAGCTTAATATCTAGTATGCTTTTTATTACGTTCGATAACCTCCTGATAGCGATTTAATATAGACTTTATTAATTTTTTTAAATAGTTAAAAGTCGTTACCGTTAGCTAAGCCTCTTAAATTTAAAGCCGTAAAATAAGCAAAAAAAGGTTTTAATTCCTTTTATTATAGTATTTCGATATATAGTCCTTAAAAACGTCTTAAACGTTTTCGATAAGGTTAAAATTAAAGCTATATAAGAGCTAATTTATTATTTTAAAGCTAGTTACAGTTAAATAGGCCTATATATTATATGCCTTATATATTAAAGCGTTATCGTATATAAAAATAAAGCGATTTTAAAGCTAAAACCGTTATAAATCGCTATAATACGACTTTATAAAAAGTAACGTTTTTTTATAATACGCCGTTATGTTAATATTTCCTTATTTTTTCTCTTAAAATAACGCAAGTCTTTTTTAGTAGTTTTATATACTAGGAAAAAAGCCCTAAAATATCTAGAAATTTTTATAATATAATGTAAATATGTGAGGCGAAGCCCTCTCGGGAAGCCCTTTTACCGGAAGCCCTTTTGCAGGTATGGTCCCTTAGACCACACACTACTAGTACTTAGTATCTCGTAGCTATACGTAATAAATAAGATATGCCTTTTTTACTTTATAAAGCTTACTATATAATAGCTAGCGTTTTTTTAATCCTTTTTTTTAATTAATCCTTTTTAAAGCCTAGCGGTATTAGAAATTTTTTTTATAACTAGATTAATATTCGCGTATTTACGCGATTAACTATAACGGCTTTTAAGTATTCCGTATATTTAATTTAAAATATTAAATTTTTTTCTTATAAAAGGCTTTTATTTATATTCCGTAGCTTTAAATAAATTCGTTAAAAACCTTTTTTTTCGAAAAACAAAATTATTATAAACTTTTTCCTTTAAAAAGCCATTTTCCGAAAAGCCTTTTTATAAAAAGCCTTTTCGTAAAAAGCTATTACTTTATTACTATTAAAAAGCTTTTCTCCGAAAAACATACTACCGAACTTTATATTATAAAACAAGGCAACAATGCTTTTATTATAGCCTTTTTTTTTTTTAAAATATAACAAATAATATTATAACTTTTTGTACGAATAAATTGTTATATTTACGTAATTAAATATAATAACACCGTTTATAATCCGATTTTTTTAATATTAAAAGTAAAAAAATTATAAAACCTTTGCTAAATAGCGGCATTTTTGCAATTTATTAATATAAAATATTTTAAAACAGTTTTAAACGAAATTAAATAACGTATATTTAAAATATTCGAAAATCTACTTAACGAAAAAAAGCTATTATTATTTATTAACTTATCGATATATACGATACGCAGGTTTTAAAGCGTAAACATTTAAGGCTATTTAGCTAAATAGTTAGTTAATAATTTTTAAGCAAAATACGCTATATAAAAAGCCGATAAATACGTAAAAAAACTATTTCTATTAAAACCGAAAGAACTATTTTTATTAAAACTATTTATATTTGTTTTTAAAATTCCCCTTTTTTAAAATTACTTCTTATTATAAACCGAGTTTAAACTTTATTAGTATTAAGTTCTTTATTTAATAATTTACTTAATCCGGTAAAACCTTCCGGTTTTAAACCAAATTTTCTAAGTTTTAAAAATATCCTTAAAGCATTCCTAGATTAGTCCAGGATTAACACACCTTAATAATAAAGATTTTTTTATAAGCATTTTCCTAAAGCTTTAAAAAAAGCTTCCCTTTAAAAACTATCCCCGTAAAAAGGTTCTATACTATTGTACCTAACAAAATCACTATTAGTAAAACGGACTATAATAGTTATTAATCCTTAGAATATTATAGCATATAACAGGTTTTTATAAACTATATCCGGTAGCCTTTTTTATATTTTATCGAATAATTACTTTAATTATTTAAGCATATTATTATAATAATTAATATATTATTTTTTAAAACACGCCGAAACTATAAATAAAATAATATGTTATAAAGTAATAAAAATCGCGTTAGCTATATAAACGGTTTTATAATTTAATAATTTAAAAAGAATATTTGAAAATATTAAAAAAACAACGGATTTAATTGCGTAAAAACCTAAGATTATATAGAATATATTTTAAGTGTTTTTTTTTTTAAAAATCTCGTTAGTTAG